TCTTACCATGTCGACCAACGCCACATAGAGGAACATGCCTGCAGTGATTGCAAAGATCCACAAGGTGATGTTATTAGCGTACTGTCCCACCGCTGTGCCTATCAGCATCCCTATGTAAGCCATCATGGCAGAGAGGAGGTTGTACACAATAGCTTGCTTTACTGTCATGCCTGCTTTAAGAAGCACAGCAAAGTCACCTAAAATGGAGACAGAACACAGGGGTTTAGTATCAGTGTTTCTCAGGAGAGTAAGTAAGTAGATAAATTAGTCTGCATTAACTACGAGTACATAAATTACTGTAGAGAATTTAATCTAGTACAGTTTCATGCTACTGGCAATAAAGACGAAGACTACTCTCTCTAGCTGCTCTTTTTTAAGTCTCAGGGTGCATGCAATCTGCCTTATGGCTCACACTAAAACAACAGGTTTCATCTTGGTTAGCTAACCCCAAGAAGAAGTGCTTCAATTACAGGGAAAGAATCAACGCATCAATGGCACCGGCACCAATGCCTACAGGTTTATATCCTAAACAGACCTCTACACAGAATTTTACTTATGTAAACTTGTGTTTACTTATGTAATTTTACTTAACTTTGTGTAAGACAATGCCACAGGGAGTAGTGTGAAATGCTTTCTATAAAATGCAAAGGTGTAACACCAAAACTAAGCTGTATGATCCGAAGAACATTTTAAAAACATGTTCAAAAAGCCTCACAGAACTGCTGTAGCTAGATAACCTGCGGTATAATCCTGCTTAACATTCTCATTATGTACTCTGATGAAGCAATATTGCTCCACTACTCTTTGAAGTTTTGGTCACCCCTGCAGCATCTGCATTGCATTATGCTTATCAGGATGAGTATCACAACAGCTTTTAGGTAACTAACTGTTTTGTACAGATGAAAAGACTGAACACATTGAGTATATTAAATTAGTTACCTAATTCATGGGGAAGCTCGTGACAGAACACTGCTATAGACGTACTAATTCCTCCTGTAAGTCCAGCGCTAAAAGCTGCTCCTGGGGAAGGAGAATTAGGAAAAGGGGGAAAAAAAAAAGATTCAAATGATATTTTACTGTTTTCAAGTCAAAATTTCATCAGCAGCCCTTCCAGAGGTGACACTCTTCTCTTAGAATGCATGCTCTCATGAACGCATGCTCTCGTGAATGCGTGGTTTTCCATTATGTCTGTGTCCTGCCTTTATATAAACTGAATTATGTGCATTGCCACTGCAGGCTTTATTACTCAGTTTATCTGAAAGCCAAATTCTGGGAGAGGAGAACACACTGAGCAGAAGAGAGACATAAAGGCAACAAGCTAATAATTCAGGAACTCCCAAGTACACTAGGACAGTCAAGAAGGTACATGAGCAAGTCTAGCTCTCTCCTTTCCAGGTTGGAAATCCAAACTAATATTTAACCCACACCTCCCTATATCCTTTATGCTTATTTGTAGAGCACGTATCAGCAATATTAATAAGCCAGATGTGGAAAATAAAAAGGTGAAAAACACTGGCATAAACCTCTTTCAGTAGCTTTTGTGTAAGCTAATTTAATTCAATCAACTTCAGTGCAGAGATCCTTTTTGGCCTTAGAAGCCACTGTCTAAATGTCTTAATCTATTAAATGTGACAATGAAGAAAAATTCTATTTTCATGGAGTTTAGTTTCTTTCTTTAGAAAGTGTTTGCAGAAAGGAGAGAAATTTCCATTGTTAACTGAAGACCCTAATAAGTAGCTTATCCCCCATTCTTCAAAGTGGGTATGTATGTTCCTTCTGCTAGTAGTCTGGAACCCTGTGTACTCTTAGTTGCTACCTTAGTAAAAAGTATGCAGTTCAGAACTCCCACCATCATTTCGATTTGTATGACATATATTCAAATGAATGTGTTTTACAGTTCAAATCACATTTAGAAGTCTATGTGAATCAAAGCCGATTTAAAAAAATCTAGTAAGATCTTCTTGGTACTTCAATTTCTTCTACATTTGGCTAGAAGTAAATCTATACTGACCATAAGCCAACACAATACTTTGCTCAAACAAAAAAAATAGATTATCCTAAGTAGTGCTTTAAAAAAAGTATTTCAGTAACCTGACCGTAGCACATTTATTATTTACAAGTACTGTATAAGTCTGTGTATTATGAATAACAGAAACAGTATTAATATTATAAACAAGTATCATTATAAATAAGATTGAAAGGCCCTTTTTATTATTCAAAGGGATGTATTAAGACCCAAAACACAAATGTGCATTACATGTGATCCATAACTCATAAGGAGGTTTGTCTGCACCTATCTTCATTTGGCAGAGATTGCAACTGTTGCTACATCAAGATTACTGTAATGATAGGAGCTGGTCACTCCTATAGGAGGAGTCAGGAAAATATTAACAAAGGGAAGACTATTGCAATTGATGGCCTTTTAATTTCTGCTCTGAAGGAGATTAAACAATACCAGCAACCACAGGAGCTAAGTGGAAACCTTACCTGTGATCACTGAGAAGTAAAATATTACCAAAGTTACTAAAGATAAGAAGAAACTTGAGAAATACTCAGTGCTTTTTGCTTACCGATTGCTAAGCCATCACTAAAGTTGTGAATGCCATCTCCCATAATTACCATCCATGCAATATTAGCTATCCCAGTATCTTTCAGGTCTTTTCCAGAATGACAGTGGCCATGGGAATGATGGGAATGTTTGTGATGCCAGTGGTGACTGTGCTTTCTAGCTATCATTTTATCTTCGCCATGGCTGTCATACTCTGAATCATGAAGATCATGCTCTTGAGCAGCGTGTGAGATATCATTGTGAGAATGGTGCATATTGTTGTCCTCTTCTACAGACAAGAAGTTTTTCGGAGGGGATTCCAGCTGGCCATCTAAATCAGTTAGTTCGGTTTCGTTGAGTCGATCTTCAGACAAAACTGAGTCATCTGCTCCTACATTGAAGCCAGTTGGAAGAGACACGGCATTAATTCTTATTTAAAATACCACCAGCAACTACTGAGCATCACTGAGCTAAGAATTTAACTGCTCTGCGAAAGCAAAAGCAGTATTTTAACACATCCCAGTCTAGCAACTTTGTTGTTACATTCAGTTTAGCCTATAATTTTGCTACTGACGAAGGTTATGGTCCAACATTAGAAAATGAGTTGCCAGAATGATAATAATGTCTTACATGTTGTAGATGGAATCTGAATGGCTTGGGAAACCTTAACTGGCTGCTCAATGCACACCCACACAGGTCACAACTTAGCCTTCACTGAAGCATTCCAGCATCTGCCACTGATACAACAGGTCTTCAAATAGTTTCTGTACTGCATGCATCTTTGTGTCAGACACTTGTGTCATGCAGTGAGCTCCTCCTATGTGGCTTATTACCCTGCTAGCAATCAAGGCTCCTTTTGCAAAGAAATACAAAGTGAAAACTATGCAGAAGGTAGACATGCATTAATTTTAAGTCTACTAATATTTCTAAAGTATTAATAAATAAATGAATCTGGCAATCTGTGCTCCAGGAAATAAACCAGTTGTGGAAAAAAACAGCGGTTTCAGACAATGAAGTTATTAGCTCACAGTAATTCAACAGAAATATTTCAGAGTCAAAAATAAGCACAGACTGCCTAAAGAGCAGACAAAGAGCTTAAAGAATTCTAGATAAACAGGCTCTTGACCATCATTTGGAGGCTGTCTGAAAAGAAATGGCATGGCCATCCAGGTCAGTGGTAGTGACACTGCCATTAAACATTCAAATTCAGCATGGGCTTCCAGTGCCTGTAGCATGAATGATTTACTGATCACCAGAGTGCACACCTTCAGAGGCACAGTGTAATGAAACCAGTATGGCTCCATGTTATTAGAAGCAATATTAGAAGCAATTCCTCTGACTGCCCACTGAAAGAAAATGAAGACATTTCAAATACAGGTACCACCACCCTCATAGCTGAAGCCTTTCTATGTTCTGTGACAGTGTCCCAAATCCCATTTTAAATTGTTTGAGAAACTACAGTCCTAACTCTTCCTTTTACAGACCATTCAAATTAACAAAATTGCATTGGTATAAATACAGCCTATGGATTCTTCATCACAGATTAATTCAATAGCCATGCAGGCAACAGGAAGGGAAGGTTATGAAGCAAAGCCCTTCCCTTGCCCCTTTGAGAAGAGTGATTCCTTCTGGGTACACACCACATAAGCATCCAGACTGCCATGAAGGAACAGCACTGAAAGTTGTTTTGGATATCAGAGTAATAATTCAGGATACTCAGTTGTATTCATGAAAATAAATTAATTTTGTTTAGCCCTCTTAGCCAAACTATAATTGGTCAGAGGCTGCAACCTTCAAAGTGAAACAGGTAACCCCTTTCAGATTGTGTGTGTTCATTTCTGATCTCATTTTTGCCAGGGCTGAGCTAGTCAGGCACGGCTTAACCAGAAAACACTCTAAAGCCAAACAAATAATCCCCCCTCCAAAGAACCACAGCCACCCAAAATCTCACTGCTTCAGAAGTCTGAGAACCATTTGTATAGCATATTAGGAAGCATTCAGAGAGCTCTCAGATCTAAGGAAAACAAAATAAAGAAAGATTTAATAGGGAAAGCCTATTAAGTCTTATTAACAATGATTTGCATAACAGCAGCAAAACCGTACAAGAGGTTACATGCTACAACGCCATAGGTTATGTGCCATTACTTTGAATTGCAGTCAGAGAAGAATCTGAAAACGAATGCCTACCTGCAAGGGGTTTGAGCTGAAGCCAGTCAGCATCTGGTCTATTATTTAACTTGTGATCAGAAAGTTTCCTTCCAATTGGTGATTCTTCAGTTGGTGGTTTTTTGCACCATTTCTGCTTACTCTGCAACAAGAAACAGGTAACATGTGGTCTGTAAAAGGACATCGGTGGAAATAAAAGAAACTGAAGTGTTGTCCAAAAATCTCTTCAAAACAGACGAAGTTACTCTCTCTTGATACATCTAACAGAAATACGAGACTTACAGAATATTAATCTTTTTAAGGCTCAGCAACAATCTCTATCCCAGTGGAAATTCTTAGCTGCCCACCATAAAATCTCACTCACACACAGATGGTCTTTCACTTCAGTAACAAAATACATAATGGCAAGGATCACACTAACAGCCCTGAAACACATGGAGGCAGTTATTATATTTGCTTATTTTGCTTAATGAAACAAACATGCAGCAAGAACAGCTCCTCTGTTTTGTCCAACTTCCATTTCTTTATACTCCTATAACTTCCTTGTATTTCCCTTTAGAGAAAAGCTTGCTACTTTCCTGTCTGGGACCCATACAACAGAGATAATACATTTGGCAAAGCAGCGTAGGGGATTAAATTATTTAATTAACCTCAAAGAAGATATGGCCAATGTGACAGCTTTTATCTCTTTATCAGAAGATCTAAGAAATATCTCCTCCAACACAGAAAATGCTTCGCTGCCTGTCCACCTGAGGCAGCAAGTCTGACGTGAAAACAGAGAACTTCAGAAGTTTCCACAGTCATTTTGGGTGAAGCAGTTACAGTTTCACCAAAGTAATTTATTTCTCAAAGATGAATGATCGAGGCAAAAGTTGAAAGTGCATTTATGGCAGGGAGGTTGGAACCAGATTAACCCTGACTGCTCTATGATTCTGATTCTATACTGACTGTTGGAAGAATATGGCTCTTTGGTCGCTTGAATTTCTACCCACCATGACTCAAGTACCAAGGTACTTCCTCCTCTCCTTTTAGACCACATGCTCCCAACCCTAAAAATCCGATCATTTTCAGGGAATCAAGTTAAAATTTGATTGGCAAATTACAGAAAGCAGGAGGTCTACAAATTTCAGCATTTTCTCAAGGAAAAACTGAACAGCTCTTTACACTGGCCTCATTAGCTAACAGTATACACTTAAATTGCTCATAAATTGTCTGACAATTGTCCTGCTCTATCACCAGTTCTTTCCTACAGGCTGCCTTTCAGTCTTTTCAATCAGGGTGCTTTGGAGAAAGAGCTGTAATCTCTTTTACTTAGATCTACCTCCAAATATATCTGGCCAAAAAGCTGCAACCTCAGCCCTGGAGATTTCTACTCTGTCTTCCCAAATTGCCTTTTAGAAAAGGGTTTCCTCACATAAAATCAAACAGAATGCAGATAAGCAGCCCTTGTTCTTCTTAACAGTATAATAAATCATCACAAAGACAATTCCTCAACAGGCAGAAGACAACTTCAGGTAATATATTTTAACACAGCACACAACTTTAGCACATACCTTCTGCTTATTGTAATGTTTGTACATTCTTAAACAATGTTCAATAATGAACAAAACATAAATGCCTCCAAGTGCCACAAGACCTTTCAGCACTGGATCATTTTCTTCTAGAAAGCCTTCCGTCTGCACTCCGTGTCCGTGGGCATGTCGATGAGAACGCTTGTGTTCATGAACATGACCTTGGCCATGGTGGTGGCTGTGGTTGTGGCCTCCATGTGACTTAGGAGAGAAAATAATGAAACAGCATGACCTGGTGCAATCAGGAGACTGAAACGGATCCCAGCTCAGATGACTTAACATGTAACATTGCCAGAGAAGTAACATAAAACGACTTTAAAAGTTGGGTTGTGTGTTTGTGTGGTTTTAGTTGGTTGGTTTTTGTTTGTTTTTAAAACACAAACACATTTTACTATAGAAACTATTCACTACACTATTCATTACCCTAATGAATAAAATACTCATCTGGGAAATTCTTTAGGGGCGAGAGGGAGATAATCTAGTTTCAGCTTTCTTCTGTCACAATGCTGAACATAATGAGGATGGCACAATGCTAAAGCTAACGAGACTAATGCTCAATGTCACAAGGAACTACCATTCCCACACTCCCATTAGCAGCCAAAGATGATATTTTTAACAGTTACAGCCAGTTACAGCCTTACTTCTGATGTGAAATACACACTCTGAAAAAAAAAATACATGCCCAGAAATTTCTATTAAATGTTACACGAAGAAAACATGTAAACATTAGACTTTTTGCTGAAAGAATTAAAGTAACAACATTTAGAATTGCAGTATGCAATATCCACAAACCAAAACCTGCTTACCTTCCCAGGAACTAGGACAACGTCTTGGCTTAGTAAGTTAGAGGTTACTTTCTCCCCAAAAGCTAGTGACGAGGAAGTTTAGCCCCCCTGCAATACTTCTATGTGGTACCGATACACTGGTATCAATAGCCAAGAGATAGCAGCACTGCTAACTTTAAATACTCTTGTTGGTCTCATTAGATGTTTTAAAGTACTATGACAGAAGTTAAACCTATGAATACACAACGACTTTAATCCACATTTTCTTTCTTTTTGTTAACAGAAAGTCTCAAACAGTTTCAGGCTGTCCCTCACAGTTAAGTCAATCTGCATCTGCATCAGTGAACATTTATTTGTTGATACTTGTCAACAATAAGTATCAACATTACTGTTGATAATTCTCTGAAAATTCTATATCCAGTTACAATTAAGAGTAAGAGGAAAAAAAAAGGAAAAAAAGGTAAGGAAACCATACTTACATGTGGCAAGAGATGGAGTAGTGCATCTCCACTCATTGTTCCTACAGCCAGAGCTACCAAGAAAGTTAGAAGAAATTTGAAGCACCATTGGTTAATGATGGGAATCAAGATCACACCTAGTAAGGAAAGCAGGCTAATGACGGTGATAGAGATGATACCACAAAACCAGGCTGTGGGAAGAAATGAATACAGAAAGATTATCAGAACAATACTTATAAGACTTTTAAGGCTGGTTAATGAATTTCAACTCTCTCTTAAGAATGTCACTTTCCTTTAACCTAATTGTGACTGTTTGTTCAAAAAGTGCTGAAAAATATGAAGACAATACTGAAGTCCACAGTAACACACAGAGGCTTATTCGCAGTCCAGTACAATATAGTGAAAGACACCAGAGAACAATCCCCTAAAAGGAACTCAGCAATTCTTCCAGGCTGTAAGTTCCATGCTTACCTCTGTAGCCCTTAATGAAACACAAAAAGCTAAGATTTTGTGTTGGAACAAATCAGTCTCTGCTACTTAACTTAATAGGGCTCTATGAGTACTAATTCATATTTAACACTTGTTTTTAAAACGATTCTGCTGCAAAATTTAACTGTAATCAGTATTTCTTCTCCTTTGTTAGGAGGAGCATGTTCAGTTGGCACCATTCATTTCACCTGGTGCTTTGAAACATAAGTGTTTATTTATGAGAAGTAAGACTCAACCTTTGACAGAGGAACTTTGGAAGAAAATGCTATAGTAAGAGCTTGAAAAGCTGAAATTAACTTGCTAACAACAAAAAGCATTACGTGACAATAGGAATATGGTACACCCAATATAATCCTATAAGCAAAGAAACATGGCTCCTGCAGTCAGCATCTCACCCCCTAATAAAATATTTTGTCTTCTGCTTTCAAGTCATCAATAAGGCTAAGAATTAAAAACTGATTTTTTTTTCTCTTCTCTTTGCCTGTCACTTCTCTTGTTTCTTTCCATCACAGAAACTTCAAAGAACAGTAAGTAAAAACTGTTAATTACAACAATACAATTCAAAAGGTTCGAAGTCCCAAAGACAGCAGTAGTTGGTGCTCCTATTTTACAAACAACAACTGTTTGGACTGAGATTTTTCATGAACATCATTTCCTCAATCTGAACTTTTTTTTTTGTTGTTGGTATTTTAGCCTAAATGCTTCAGGTTTTTCCAAGTTTTTTGCTAGCTTCATTCTTAATCAAGAATGTCCACATAGTTTGCCAGCTTTCATGGAAGTTAACAACTCATTTAAGATCATCAGCATTTCTGTACTTTGGTGCATGGATTTTCCTTACAGGTCCACTCTTTTTTGATCAAGTGGGGTAAAAACATCCTCAGAAATGGGGAGGATGGAGGGAAGAGGAGAAGAGAGGAGGAACGAATATGTTGTAGCTGCTCAATGAATTCTGTGATTTAGCACTCAAATGTTCCAAGAATTCTACAGATCAGATTTGACAAGACTTTGCCACTAGAACTGTGGCTGCTGCAGGCCTGGTCTGTTCAACACTAAAACTTACAGTATCTGCTGGTTTAAATTCTATTTCGGGTTTTCGTTCTTACGAAGTCTGTAGCTGTCATTCCACAACAGTGCAGAAAAGGAAACAATTCAATTCAAATGCAAAGGGTATAAAAGCACATCCACGAGGAGAAACTGATTGGAAAAATCTTAGAAAGTATACAGTGTACTAAAATGTATATTGATACCAAGAGGAAAACGCGAGAGCTGGTGAAAAGGCAAAGACTGCCATCAGATGAGGAGCTAAGAAACTGAGGTTGGAAAATGGGAATACAAAAGTAGGTCTAGAGTAGAAGCCGGTCCCTGCTAACCAAAATGCTGCCACTACACAGCCTTGATTCATCCCCAGAGCACTTCAGTCATGTACTCTGGATTAACAGGCTCTGCTGAAAGAAACAGCATACATGGACATGTAATTCAATGCTGAATCATGTGGTCATGCACAAGTAGCCCACATAAATATTACAAAGTCATTTGGCAGGACTTTGGATCTCCAATACGGACACAGACATTATGATGTTAAGTGCCAGGTTAGATGACCAAGAGCCTTACATGGAGAAAAATGGAAAAGAGATTATGTCTTCAGTTTCACGTATCATAGCACAGATTTGGCAAATGCATCTTGGAAGGTCTTACATACTCTTAGGAATTATACAGTATCTAAACATGGCACCATGATTAAGATAAGGCACATGAGAATTACTATACAGAATCTGTGCATCTCTCAGATGTTGGTCATCAGCTTCTCTCTGTCTAAACTCTAAGGAAAATGGTATGTAACCAAAATTATTGGTAAAAGGTTGCTGTCAAATCAAAGATTAAGAAAATGTATTATATGCAGAAGCTGTACTTGGCCCCACAGTTACATGTATGCACCAACACTCCTCATATAACAAGGACTGCTAAGGAAGACTTATAACAAAATTCTGACAAAAAATTTTATTTAAAGATTTCATTGATCTGTAGTGTTCAAAACACTAAAATATTATAGAAGTGGAACTAATATGTAATATTATGAACACTGCAAGAGCTCTTAAATTATAAACATCTTGGTGTTAACACTCCTAGGAATACTATATAAAGCTTTGTCAATGGAGGTGAAGTTATTATGCAGTTGCTTATAAAATCTCTCTGTGGAAAAAACCAAGAGGTTTGTGACTGAGCAATTTCTTCAGTAAGGGCCCTCTGTTCCAGCAGTGGGTAACAAACAAAAGACAGCTTCTCACACCAGATTTGGACAGCTATCTGTCAATTAAAACAGACTAAAAGGGTAGCAAGGCAGACTCCTTGTAAGACCGACAATGGTTAGCTAGCTTGCTTTCTTGTTAAAGCTTGCAGATAACAGAAAGTCTCCACTGAAGCAAAGCCTTCCAGGGTCCAGAGAACACTGGTATTAGCACAGGCAGATTTACAAGATATCTGAAATACTTGTAATCAACAGCTCTGACTGATCTCCATTATAAAAAACCCCTGTTCCTGTTTGCTTGTATCACTTCTATTAGCTTGATTCATAGTAGGCTGTACCTTTACTTTTTAAGTCACATTGTTTAGGAGCTCTTAATTTCAATGCCACCTCTCCCAATAAGGTACACTGTGAAAGCTCAGTTGTATGTATAAGCCCTTTAAAATCTTCTATTAGTAGAACTAATTGCAGAACTATCTGTAAATTACAGGAAGAAAACCCAGTGAGGCTTCCTCAGTTTTTGGTCATCAGTTAACTAAATTGCTTTAGAAAACTGCATTATCAGAGCTAATAGAGACTTTACAGGTTAGTATCAATGCAGCAGCTTTTTTTTGGAAGCTTTAATTAAAACTACAGAAAATCAGAGAAAAACAGTGTTTAATAATGCCTGCAAGCTCATAACTTTGGCAAATACTTTCACCTAAAAAGGTTTACCTTAGCTCAGGTAAGCACACATTTTCAGTTTTGTAGCATCCTACAACCTGTAGGTTAAGTTACTCTATGACTGACATTTGTCCTACATCTCCTACAATCCTCATACACCAGTTAAGATTCCTTAAGAAAGGAACATGATTATTACAAAACCTGAAATCTCACTGTAGTTAACAGCATACAGAAAGTGTTATGAAGAATGATTTATCTTTACCTAACCAAGCTGACCTGTTTTAGAGGTTACTGTGTTTTCACAATCAATAGCTTAAAAACCAATTTTTTACAATTAACTGGCAAAAGTTCTACTTATACTTAAGATACGAGTCGCCATAAACCATGTTAAATGTCCACAATATGCTTCACTGATTTTGCAAATTAAGTCCCTTAAAATGCTGAAGGTCATCAAACCAAGTTATACGTCTACTGCCTTACTCATTACTAAGAAAGAAAATGCATTCTTTTACAAAGCAGCACTCGTCTGTAGAAACTTTCTAATTAAACTGGCTCAAAGCATGTGCAATGTGGCAGTTTTGTACACGGTTTCCACCTTCTAATTGGCAGAAAATGCTTAGAGCTATTCTAGAAATCTTTTTGGTAGTAAGGCAGGGGTCAACTCTTACTACAGTGAAAATACTCCATGAAACAACCTGCTGCCATATAAAACACACAGTATATTTGGTTACTACGTTTGAACAGTTAACAACATAGTAGCTGTGCCACTGTAGGAGATCCATGTGTAACAAGTTAATTATTTTAATGAACCCAGCATTGTTAAGAAAGATTACCAAGCAATGCGTTCTTCCCGACAGTTACCATCTATGAGAACATAGTTACTTCAAGCTTTATTTTGAATGGTACTAATAAGCATGTATGTACTAATAAATATTCACAATTACCAATATCTTTATTCTTGAAACATGGACATTGTACCCAAGAGTTTTTAGATTTTTAACAGTACACCACAGCTAAACGTGTCAACAGTTCCACTATAATTTATGAAAGACAGCAGGAGTAAGCATGTATTGTAGAACTACACTCAGTTATGAAATCACAATGGATTCCACCCTTAAAGCAACGGCTTTAACAGCAGCAAAAGTATTTTTAGCTTAAAACTATGGTAAGAAGAAAAAAAGTCTGCTGATTTTAACTCTAGGCAAACTGCCTTAAAACTGCCAACAGAGGATTCTGACTGAATGCTTCTCATATGCTTAAGAGAGAAGCAGTATAGAGTAATTCATATTGGAAGTCAGAAAAGGGAAGTGTTGCCAGAAACGGCAATTTAAATGCTCTTGTGTCTTGCGTAAGTCTTCATATTTCTTCAGTTCACAAAAAATTCTGAATGTCAATTCTACAAATTTCCATTACTGCTAGAATATAAAACCAGCAACAGCTAAACTAATGCTTCCCAGTGAATGAACTGTGAGGAAGGTGCTGTTCTCTGTTCCCCAATTAATAGATGCAGGTCAAATTTATTAAGAAAATTTGTGCCAAGCTCATGCTGCAACATTCCAACTTCAAGATAATCAAACAGACCACCTCAGTCACACTAAGAGAGAACGTATTTAACATACTTCAATAAAATAATCCAAACTGTGGGTAGACTTGGTCATCCCTATAGGTCCTTCCATCCCCAAAGATTCTGTACCTTGCCCCTGCTCCTATAGAAAAGTCCAACGTCTAAAGATATGTGGGAAAAGAATCCAGGCCAAAATGCCTGGGCCATAGGCCCAAAGATAGGATGTTAGACCTGAATGACAAAAGATCAAAAAAAGGAAGTAAAAATAAGCAAACATAAAATAAAAAGTGAAAACAATGAAAAAGGATAAAAAGGTACAAGAGGCTCCCTGAGCCACCGTTATTTAGGGGAAGCTATTATACTGCCAAACAGGATGCTGTTTCCTGACTTAAAGGAGCATGCTGTCTCAAATTTCTTCTACTATGTTAATTGTAACCATTCCTTTACAGTCAATACTAAGTTGTTTAACATTTTAAACTCTCAAGTTAATATTTACAATGCAAAATGATTTTGAAGACTTTAGATGTTACACACCTACCTGATGCACCTGTTTTATCTTTATTCTCAATTGATGCATTTTTACTTTTCATAACATCTTCAAGCTCATCATAATGTACAATACAAAGCCTTCTCTCAATCTGGTATAGCAAAGCAGGGCACATGTATATAAACAGTTCAGGAGATATTGGAGAGCTGGTTTCCAGACCATAGTACCGTAGCAGCTGGGTAACATTTAAGCACTGCAAGCAAATTGTACAAACAAATTAAGTATGAAAGCAACTATTTCATTAAAAACTACAGTTATGGAAAATTTAGCATATGACTTGAGAACACAAACAGAAAATGGAAACTGGCCCACAACACTCCACCGGTGCTAAAACGTGTTTTAGCTGATCTAAGTGGTTTATGAAGGGAAAGAAACAATAAAAGTATCTGCACTATAAATTCAGACACCAGTTCATTTTTGATAGATGTCAATGAAAATAAGTTTCCATAGTCTTTGCCATTACAAAGTACAAGCAATGAAGAAGGAGCAACAAGAAAGGAGTGCAAGAAAATAAACCCAAAACAGGTTTTCTAACACTTCTCTTTATCGACCTTCTCTGGAGTTTCAGTTTTTAACTCAGATTAAAACCTCAACCTCAGCACTCACTCCATCCTTTCCTATCCTGACTTCTAGTTTAACACCATGACAGCAAAATGTCCTGCTTCAGTGAGTAACTGCAAGGGGGAGGGGAAAGTATATTTACAATCCTGGCAGAAATAATGGATGCTGAAGGGAGAAATGGAAGAGCTTACTCTGACCACAGTGCTACTGAAGTTACATCTACATTGCTTCACAATCTCTTAGGACAAAGAAATTAGAAGCACGTTGAAAAGATGCAGGTGTTTCTTTTAGAATCTCCGTTCAATTTCCAAACATGTTAATGATATTAGATTCAGAAAGAAGTCCAAAAAAGGGGGAGAGTGTGAGTGAAGTATTCATGCATACTGGGAAGAGAAACAACCCCACCTGTAAGCAGGGAATCTCAGAAAGCTTTAAGGAGCACTTTTATACAGATAAACAGATCTCTGAGAAAAGACGGGCAGACAGAAATGAACACCCATAGGGTAAACTCAAAATTGTGGCAGTAACCTCTTGCCTTTTCACTCTGGTACCTGTGTTATGCAATGGTCTCAGTGCTTCTGCACTGATTTGATCTATGTTCAACTGTTATGTAACAACAGCAAAAGTCAACTTACTGGTTCATTTAATACTCACCTCTTCACGATCACGTTCATCTTCATGATGATCCTTATGACTACGCGATGGAAAAAGAGCACGTTTTCTTACGCTACTCTGCTTACGAGGTGCCTCTCGCTTGCTGGTGTGGTGGTGTCCATCCTCATTACCTAAACTGGAATCCTGATGTCCATGACTAGTAGAACGATCGTTACTGTGTTCATGACGGCGTACATGCAAGTGGGATGCATCATGTGCATGATCAAGTTTATGAACACGATTGTGCTCATGCTGATCACCTGAATCATGATCTGGGGCATAATCTCCTGAAGTCTCACTGATCTTCTTTTGCTTCTTCTTCTGTTTCCGTTGTTTTCTTTCCGGCTGATCTTGAGTTGTGTTTGTCTCTGTTGAAGGTTCATGGTTCTGTTCTCCATGTTCACTGTGACTAACTGAATCATTACGAGAGTGATGTGTACCATTATGGTCATGATGATGTAGACGAGGGTGGTGATGACGATGATGACGACTCTGGTCATGACTGTGTTTGCCATCATCTTTTACTGATAGTGCTACTGTCTCTCTCTCAGGGTCACATTTATGATTTCTCTTTACAGCCACACCAGCCGTGGTTTGGTTTTCTGAATCTGAGTGGCTATGAGGATGGTTATGAGAGTGAGAATGCTTTCCTTCCTGGACTTCTAAAGCATATAAGTGAGAAACATGATCATGGCCAATATCATCATGATTTATCATCACCACTTTTACCTCTCCTAACCCAAGGCTTATTAACAGCTTTTCCAGGCCAAAAAAGGATAATCTTCCATTTTCACCGTAACGATCAAAAATCTTTTCAATGTAGTATTTCTGTTCATTTTCAGCTTCCAACGTTGAAAATTTACTCGGCATAGATTCTGTTCCTCCATTCTGGAAGTAGGAATCATTTGAGATCTGACAGTCATTATGGTAGTGTCCACATTTCCCTTTGGGACCACGGTGATGTCCATCTTTATGGCAATGATTGCACTGATGAAAGGTAAATGTCAGCAAACAAATGATGCAAAATTTTGTGTGCATGTGTACCTTCATCTCTGTTTCCTACAAGAAACACAAGGGGAAGCGCTTAGGTGTAAGAGCAATCTCAGCATTTGTACTACATGATTATCAGTTTGGTGCTTCTTTGTACCAACTGAATGACACAAATCTTTTTAGATATTGCCATTCACAACTGCAGTATTTTTACTGCAGAAATTGTATTGATATACTTATCCAACAGTAAGATAGGCTCCGTGTATTTTAGACACGCAGTGTTACATACCACACTTACAGAAGGCAGTTACAATAGAAAGATCAGCATTTACATTCAGTCATATCAGAACATTTTTTGTGTATATTTTCAGAGGCATCTCTAGTTACAATATCCTATAATGTTGAAAAGCTTGTTAAAATACAAGTTACAAAAGAATAAAAAACATTTTATAACAACCATACAATATTTCTTAATTATGGAGATGACAGGCAGGTAATACAGTAGAAAATCCACACACCATTTGTTCTCTTATACGTTGCTGAAGTACCCCCACTAAACACACACACTGCACAATTCCCTATTTCACAGAATCATAGAATAGTTAGCGTTGATTTTGATTGGTAATTAGTGATTTAAAAATAAGTTGTCATTCATGAACTTCAATGTGTTGCTTAAATGGTTGTATTTTTAGTACTTTTTACTTACACGAGTTTACTGATTTTGAAGAACTAAGTGGATATTAATGTAAAAATCAGGTTATATGGAAAACTTCCATTTATGCAACTCAAAAGCGCTGTTAATGCTGACGCAGTCTAGCTCAAAGTAGGCAGTACCAAGTTTTAGAAATTCTATCATCTAGACACTGTGGTTTTCAACTTAGTATTAAATGCAAGAAAGTTACTATTCAACATCAGATATCAAGAGGACACTGCAGAAGTCGATCTTGTGTTCGGAGCTGAAAACAATTCACTATGTTACAAAGTACGACAGCGTGCTTTTGTCTACAACTGCTAGTAAAAACATACGTAAAACCAGAATAACTATTCTAAGAAAAACTTTTTAGAAAAAAATAACCCAAGCTTAGGTAAAAAGGTCAATGAACTAGAAAGCTAAAGATAAGCCAAGAACTGTATTTTATGAATTCAATTTTCTAGAGACTTAATTTTGGGAAGAGAATAACCTCTAAAATACAAAGGGATTTTTTTAAGGATAAAATAAGTGACTTAAGGATTGACAGGGTTTTCTAGCAAGACTTAATTTGTTCTGCTGGTTACCAAGCCAAACAAAATGTGGAATGTTTACAACAGTTCCGCTACATACACGTAGAAGTGAGTCAAGCCATCCTATCAGCAAAGAAGCAGACAACAAAAAGGCGGCAGCATGAAGCTTCCCAATCAATCTGAACAGTTGAATGACAGGTTTGAACAGTTTAACAGGATTAACTAAAATAGACAAAGGAAACAAGTACAGGAGGGCTCTTTACATGTAACTAGTTAAATTTAAAATACGACTGACAAATGAGAGCTGAGAGAAAGGGTAAGGACAGAAGTTCCATCCATCCTGCTTTCTGCATACCCGAATGCTACCACAACACTGCAGCGAATGCAACGATGTAAATAACAGGGGAACAGGCCAAGTTTTCATCTCTTTTTACACTGAAAGCACTTTTAGTTCCTTCTGTGCACCTTGAGTAGAGCTGTGACTGACCCGACATTCACAAAGATGCAAGTGACCCAGTCCATGCAACCTAACATGCTACTGACTTTCAGACAAGAAATGGTAAATTTAGTTGCCCTTCTCAAGCCCATCCCAGCTGTGAACTAAAATGCGCTTCATGAAATTGGTCATGAAAATGCTTTGCAGCAAACCACAAACATTTAAAATCCATCTTAATTTCCTAAAATATCAGCTTGATTTTTGTGCTTAAGAACTTTCAACCCTAATGCACAATAACAATAAAGTATTCTCTTGGAAGCTCCTATACTTGCAACAGGTTGATAGACGAAAGGAATCTGAGGTAAAGAAGGAAAGGGATAACTTTTAATGACTTGCTATAGAAAATCAATGAGTTAACAAAGAAGACTGAGAGAAAATTTTTTGTATAACTTTCACAAAAGATGAAAATTGAGTTTTTACTAAAGCTTCAAATGTTTGCAAGATTAAGAAAAAACAACACAACAGAACTGTCTTTTGCAATACTGACCCCTTACAAATGTAAGATCAGAACAGTAATTGTCAAATGGAGGCATCTGCATCAAAATTGATTTCCGGAACATTAGACCAATCAATGGGTAATCACTGTATACTACTGTTTTGTTTTTATGAACAACAGTTGAACCATCAGTCTGGAATGACCCCAGTTTGCCTCCAGTTCAATCACCTACATTCCAGTTACAGTTTTAAGGGCTGTGACACCCTTTTCAAGTAAATCAGTTCATCCCCAAAATTTACCGAGGTATTATTTTCATATAGTCATTTTCACTCATGGACTCCATTTGAGGCATCCTTAATGTTCTTACAAATACATCACTGGCATTCATATGGAAACACTGAAAGCATCTCAAAGCACCTTCCAGAAGCTTTGAGGCAACAGGTAAGAACAGAGTTGTTACTGGTGGAGTATAAGGAAACAGGTTGCAAACCTTTATCGAAAAGTCACTGGACTAAGTCAATCCTCAGATTGTATGATTGTCTGGACACTCGCTCCATAACCTTCAAATAAAGAACATATGCTCTTTCTCACACAGGCTGAGAACCTAAGCTCTGTGACTTACATCATCCCAGGAAGCAGAAACATTCTGGCAGTAAGTAAACGTACAGGGTCAGGAGTACGTCTGGTGACAGACCAACAGAGCTCCACGTTTCTATAGGAATATGCAGATTTTCATTAACAGGATTTACAACGTTGAATGTTACTGAATTTGAAGAACAGGTTTGGGAGCTGGAATAAGCAGTTAACACACACACAAGACAAATGAAAGCCCTGGGAGAATGGCGAACTTCAATACGTTTGCACAGAAGACGGCGGCAGCAGGTAAGTACATGCAGTATACTGTAATGCTCTAGCAAATTGTTCAGTAATTTCAGAACTTCACTTTCTCACTAGTGAAAACAGCATCTCAAGTTTAAGTAAAATTCAGTTACTCAAAGGATACTACTTCTGTAGGTAAGACACCTTTTCTCACTCTTTGCCACGTAATGGTAATATAACCAGAACAAGCAAAGTCAAATTATTCTCATTTAAACAAGCACGGATTCAGACTAAAATATCTCTACCAGGAAATTCATGACTTAGGCATGATCATAATCCTTTTCACAACCTCATGATCTTTTTCATGTGACTGTCTCATACAATACTACTAATACATTACTTTGAAAATTTAGTCATGCATCCCTAATTGTAGTGTTTAGTTTTCAATGGTACCTTTTCTCCATGCCCTATTGGTTAAAATAGATTGTTACCGATGGTCATGATTCATTGCTGAAATACTAGAGCTGAGCACTACCAGGCCAATTTCAAGATCAAGTAGATGTCTCACTATTTTCAGTTTAAATAGTAATAACCCTAGCACAGTATTTTTAAGCTTCTATTATACAATTTTCTGTATCTTCTATTGTAATTCTTGCTACAGAACAAAGATGTCTTCAAAACATACCCATCATAAAAAAGTCTCAACAGAAGAACTATTAAGAGTTGATTATTTCTTTTTAAACAAGCTCCATTATTCTCTAGGCAGTTATAAATAGCTGTCATCTTTAACTTGTCGGGCAGTATTCATATGTGTAAAATACCAGAAAGCTGAAGTTCAAATCCTATATGTTTCAGTGGCACGGAACTGTATATAGCTGATCTCAATATAAAAACATTAAGACTCCTAAATCCCTTCAAAAGAATATGGAAGGGCAGCCTGAGGACAAGTCTACAAAGTTGAAAAAGATTCTGCCTATTACTGCTGTCGGCCTTTGCCTTGTTTTATTCACTCATTTGACTCCCAGCTGCCTCCCCTCCTCCCCTCCCTAGCTCAGTATTGGTTGGGCACCCGATCCAGGAGACATGAGGAAAACCTCTCCTACCTAGCTGTAAGGTAAGAAACTACAGCACCCCTAGGCCAGAGCTGGAAATAGCAGCACCTACTATGTTTAACTGCAAACAAGAACAGGATTCACGCAGGCAGTGGGACACCTCCACCCTAAGTCAAGCCTGAGAAGTTAGAACAAATGTGTAAATTTATAGTAGATAAATAGTTCGGCCACACCAGCTGACACAGCAGAAACCACACACAGTGCTGCCAAATGTACCCCCTTGCCTCCTCATTCATCAGCGCAAGCAAATCATTCATACTAAATGCAGTACTGACTGCATATGCATATACAAGGTTTTAAATCAAAGGTTTGTGGTCAAAGTACCTGAGCAGTAGTACATCAGCAGAGCTCTCTTTTCTGTATGGAAAACTCACAGTATCTCTGTGCTAAACCACTGTCTGCCTATGGTGTTTCATCTATTAAACTAAATCAACTCTGATGAAAGTTCGTATTTCTTTACAGCCTTTTTCATTCAGTTTCCCTTGGATTCCTACAACTTCTCCATAATGCCTACTATTTTAACTGTTCTTTTATAGCACTTTTTCAGAAGACTTCATTTAAACCCTGGTATATAAACATGATTTTGGGAGATACTTTGCTTATTTATCACAAACTGCTTCACTAAAACTAGAAAACTAGTTTGATAGGCTTTATTTAAAACTACACATTCTGGTTCAAGTAATGTGGTCATACAAAATTCAGACTCAACTGAAAGTCACATCATTTTTTGTTAGTGTACAACACCGACCAGAGTATCTTAATGTGTCCACTTTTCTCTCCCCCCCCTCTGCTTCCTGTTTGCTCCCAACGATTTTAATAACCTGAAATATTTGTAACATGAATGTTCTCCCCTTCCCATGCTTCGTTCCAAGCTATGTTAGGGTCTCTCCCTTTTTAACTCTTTATTTTGTCTGAAGAATGCTTTGCCCCTTTTTTTTCTATATGCAGAAGAGATCTCCAAAGAGTATCTTTGACT